TGAGTGAGTGAGTAAGTGAGTGGGTGAGTGGAGTGAGTGAGTGAGTGAGTGAGTGGAGTGAAAGAGTGAGTAAGCACGAAAAGAGGTGGAAAGGTGGAGAAAAGCGGGGCCGAAGCCACTGGTAAAGTGACCGGGGCCGAAGCCACCGGTAACCGGGCCGAAGCCACCGGTAAAAGTGACCGGGGCCGAAGCCGCCGGTAAAAGTGACCGGGGCTGAAGCCACCGGTAACCGGGGTCGAAGCCACCGGTAAAAGAGACCGGGGCCGAAGCCACCAGTAAAGAGACCAGGGCCGAAGCCACTGGTAAAGTGACCGGGGCCGAAGCCACCGGTAACCGGGACTGGTAAAAGTGACCGGGGCCGAAGCCGCCGGTAAAAGTGACCGGGGCTGAAGCCACCGGTAACCGGGGTCGAAGCCACCGGTAAAAGAGACCGGGGGGCCGACCAGCCACCAGTAAAGAGACCAGGGCCGAAGCCACTGGTAAAGTGACCGGGGCCGAAGCCACCGGTAACCGGGGCCGAAGCCACCGGTAAAAAACACTGTGGCCCCGGCGCAGCTCAGCGGCGATGATGTTCAGCATTGGCATGATGTCCGACATGACAGGAGGGGGTCGGGGGGTGGGCGGTGAGGGGATTGATGGACAAAAATGGAGGGGGGTGCCGACTAAATACTGGAAGCCAACATGAGCAATCCGGCGCGGGCAAGATGTGACTGTGCATAAGTTATGATGATGTAACTGTATATCAATTCAAATTTAAAAGCTAATTAGACCACCCTCCATGCAACACATCCGGCAGCAAACCCACCAAAAACGAAAAATATAAAAAAAAATCTCTGCGGCCATCCCAGTTAAACTGGCAGGCCCCGCAACTGTTCCACTTTCTATACAGTTTTCGTTTTCTATACCACAACTCAAAGTACGCAAGCTACTTCAACTGATTGAACGGCTTGAACGGGGCCAGGGGCCGGGACTGCCCGATTGAGGATATTTAAGTTGGCACGGCCCCCTTTGAAAACTAAGTAACGCCAATAAGTTACATGGATTGTGTTCTGAGTATTTGTTTAACTATTTGAGTGAGGCCATTGGCAGCCCCCCTTTTTCAAGTTACATAGGCATTTTCTAGATTAACTGGCAGGCCCCCTTTTGATTTTTTCAAATCATGTCAATTGCCTGCTTTATCTGACATATTCAAAAACTCAAACTGGCACACCCCTCTGTCTACAATGAGCCATCTACATGGGGCAAGGGGCCCGGGGCTGACACACTTACAATGTTTAAATTGGCAGTCCCCCTTCCCAATTCTAAATAATCGAAACGCTTGAAACCATATAGTGTAACTCAACTATTCAAATTGGAAGACCGCCCGTGTTCAAACCAAGGAGTGGAACGTTGAAATCATTGACATTACTTAGCCTTTTAAAACCTGGAAAGGGGCCCCCTTTCAAGTTTAAGCCGTTTTGTCACAAGTAAAAATATGTCAACCATGTTTAAAACATTTGAAGGAATTAACCAAGTTAAACTTCTCAAGCTTATTGAAATCATTTGTGCTATTTGAACGGGGCCACACGCCGCCGGGACTGACCAATTCGTATTATTCAAATATATTGCGATAACCTAAATAATGCTACGGTTTAACATTTTTAAATGGGAGAGGGGGCTTTATGTCGAATAAGCTATTCAAACCGTGTAAGTTGGAAAGGCGGGCTTTGCAAAGTCAAACAGTTTCAACAATTCATTTGGTTTTTCTTGGCAGACACCCCTCTGTTCAAAACCACCACAAATGATTTGTTGCATTGAGCATAATGAATGAGCTTTTGCAAACTCAATTAGAAGACTAGTTCAAATTGTTTAGGCTATGTAAGTATTCTAGTTGTCTAAGCGGGGTCAGGGGCCGCAGTTGCAGCCGATTGCAACCTCCCCCTGCGCTACTATGAATCATTAAGTCACCCAAAGTATTCCAACTGTTTAGACTGGCAAACCCCGCATTGCCAACCAAAAGGCTGACCCGATCTAACTTGTTCGAATAATTCAACATGTCAAAATTGCACAACTCAACTTATTTTATTGACATTGGTAGGGCCTCTTTGCGAATTCAAAGAATTTGCAGGATTCAACAAACCTTCCTTAGTTTTTAAATGGAGTCAGGGGCCGCTGGCGATGACCGGCTTGAACAATTTAGGCTAGTTAATCTGACAGACGCCCCCTTGCAAATGCAACTACTCTCTACAATTTCAAATTTTCAAATCATTCTCAGCCTTCCGCTTTTTATGAAATATTTAACTTACTTGGCCGTGTCAGGGGCCGCCGGCGCTGACCGACTGAAATCATTTAGGCTTTGCGGTAACAACATATCTCGCTTTAAGTCATTCAATTGTTTTGCATCGTGTGCCTTTGCAGAACCCGCTTGCTACTTTACATAGTTCAAACTCAGATGAAGCAAGCAAATTTGAAATACCTTGGCCAGGCCGCAGGAGAAGGGATTGGCCATCTATTGAAGGTACCTAAACTACCCGCCGGGCTGGAAACCGTCGGGTTTTTGGACCGAATCTGTGTTTCGCTCACTCCTTCCTCTTGTTTTCATCACCAAAGCACACGAAAAACATGTTTTTTGGGGGTCCGTGTTCTTACTTCGCTGGCAGGCGCAGCACTTCGCCTGCGAAAAGGATACCTTTTTCCCTAGAGCCTGGCAAAGGTGTCATTTCAATCAGGCAAATGGATACACGGAGCGGGTGCCCGTGAGCGGGTGAGCATTTTACATGGTTGATGGTGTAAACAACATTTGAACAATATTAGCAGCCACCTTTCCCAGTCAAACTCTCCAAGCCATTTATGTTAGCAATCCACATTTTGCAAGCAAAAAACATAAGTGTAAAATCTAAAACGCTCCGCCTGCCCGTTGCCAACAGACACGTCTGACGCAGCTTTATTGAAAATGGTGTTCCTGGTGCACCGTTGCAGCGTCTAAGCAGGACATTGTTTCCATGAAATGAAAGCCAGGATATAAGCTCGCGTTCGTGTTCCCGAAGTATGACGGCGCCTGTCAGCAGGCCTACGCGCTGCTCTCGCGCGCGGACGGGCAGCTGACCCGCGCGGGGCAGCACTACTACTCGCACCTGTGCCTGCGGCCTCCCACAACCAGCCGCTGATCCGGGAGGGCCCCATGCTGGCATGATGGTACGCGTGAACATGTGAATCAGTTCAGTGCCATCAAGAAGACCCTGCGCGGCTCCCAAGCCAGACGGCCATCAGTACGGCGTTCGCGATGGCATTTTTGGGTAAACGTCAAGTGCGACGCAGGACGCGCAAGACACATCGAGATCGAAAGCCTCTGCCGGCCTGCCCGCCAAGATGAACTTACGGATAACTTATGAAGTCTAGTTATAAGTGTGCGTAAGTAGCGTAATTCGTTCGCGTTCTGCGGACCCTTTTTTTGATGCTGCGCAGGTTTACTCGTTTCATCTCGTCTGAAGGTTTTCTTGACTCAAGGATGTAGGCGCTTGCTCAGAGGATGCGCTGTTGTCGTTGTTCCAAAGGCATTGGCGCCGAAGTGTGCGAAAAAGGCGAGGGGCACTGACCCGCTCAAAAAAGCAAACAAAGGCACCGCGGCCTTTTTGGCTCAAAGCAGTCCGGCGCGCAGTTAGTCCACGAAGAGCTATAGAGCCAAACGTTAAGTCGTGTGGGGGGAGGGGAGTTGTAGGGGCATTGTAGGGGTAACAGGGTGCCTCTACAAACCTTTGTGTGGGGAGAGAAGCCACGCTGCACTCAATTGAAGTTTGCCATAGCAAACGCAACCGCGCGCAGACACAGTAGTTCTCAGGGGATGGTATAATGATTTCATGAGTATTTTCACTTTGGACCGTCGGGAGAACCCAGCAAGTACTGCTCTTCGAAGGAAATCAGAACCAATGCAAACATCGATGCAACTTTGCATGGCGAGCAGGGCCAACCCAGCGATGCAGAGGCCAGTTGGCAAACAAAAAGCAACTTTGGACAGCGAGCTGGGTGAAGCCAGCGGACGCAGCAGTGTTATTTCCCTTCTTATGTTTGAAACTAAAACTTTTTTCTCGGGACGCTATTTTGCAGCGCTTCGAATTGGCTGCGCACAGCTGGATTGGCAACGCCAGTTACGCACGGAGATGTAGTTCAAACCCAAGAGCGCTGGCTCAATGACATAATTACTAGCCGTTACCTCCCAGCCTAGATGGATTTCGCTGGTTACGGAACGCAGTGGGGGGCGGTTGGCAGTGCTCAAGGCAATAGCTTCCCGGCAAAAACTTCTCGGGTCCATGGGGGGAGGCCTACCCATTTTTGAATGGAGATTTTCGCATTGCTTTCGCAACTTTGTGGCTGTGCCTCAAGCGGGTTGCTGTTGCCCGGTCGAGGCCTTGATATGCTTGGAGAGGCCACAAAAACATAGCAATAGTGTAATGGCTGCAAGGCAAATTCTGAGGAAGTTCGTAGACACGTGCTCTGATCTGCACCAACCCCGAACAGGGCACGCACATGCATGATCACTTCTCCAACAATGGGGCATATACTTTGACCCAGAACAAAGGAGCTATGAGTTCTACGGTGACCGCAGGCCCATGCGAACAACAAGTCAAAAAATCCAGCAAAGACAGCAACCCCTGCAGCGGGCCGCCAGTCAACGCGGCAGCCTCGAGAAACACCAAACAAGTACGACGTGCTCTCCGTGAGCAACGAGACTCAAAAGCGCAACTACTGCCACAAAAGCAAAACTACAAGTGAATTGAAAGAAGCGGGTCCGTCAACCCGGCAAGCGCAGCAGTCCTCAAGGAAACGCGCGCATGTTCGCATCAGCTGCCGTTTGGGCAGCAAGCCCGCGCACTATACACATGGTGGCAGGCACGCGTAGCAGCGAGTGCGAAGAACTCAACGTGCAGCCGTCGTCAGTAGCTAAGGGGAATGCCAAGTCATTGCAAACCAAATTTCGTGCAGCTGGCAGCCGACCCGGCAAACGGCAAACCTGGCCAGAGCACATACTGCAGCGCCTGACTGCCCTGCCGGCCCTGTGGAGGAACCATGGACCAAACGCCCCCGACTGTGAGGCCCGAGTCATTGGGCGCCGCCGGCACATAGAGCGCCTCGTTCCGGCGCGATTTCTTGCCGCTTAGCATTGACAAAATAGGAGTGGCTGGCTATGGTGTTTTCCATCCATCAAGCTTCTCCGCAATTTTAAAGGAAGGTATTGTCTGTTGAATCCACAAGTCCGCCCACCGTGCAAAAGTACCGGCCATGTTTCACCTCCTCTCAATTGAACACTAGTTACTCTTGGGCCTGAAATTTGCGGCCAACGGGTGACAAATTGCACAGTTGCGCGCTTTCACTGGTCTACCGGTTTCTTCCGGATCTGTAGCATGTAGCGGGTGTGACGGCTGCCCTGCTCTCACTTGACGCCGCCGGGATTCTTCTTGCTTTTCAAGCACGGGGCGGGGTTTTCTCACACTCCCGGCAATCAGCCAAGCGTCCGCGTCCGCGAGCTCCTTGGCGCAGGTTGCCAAGCGGGCGCTCGCCCCTCGATCCGCAAATGTTTTTGTTGAGCTCTGTCTCGACCCCGGCGACAGGCTCCAAGAACTTCCACAGCCTGCAGTTCACTTGCTCCGGCTGATGCGGCGTCATCAGCTGCCGCGTGTAGTTCTGCGCCCGAGCAACCAGGACCTGCTCTCGCTACCAATGTTGAGCCCGCAACCAAAGCGCCGACCATGTTTCACTTCTCACCCCAAGGCTCCGATAAGACAAAAAGCGGGACGTTGTGACTGTAGTCTTTTATTCCCCAAACAGCTTACTGTTGGGGTTCTCAATTCTTACTAAGAATTGATGCTGTCACGAGATGGTCTGGCCTTGTCTCCCAGCTTGTTTCCTCGGTCAGCTCTTTGTCTCCCCACTTGTTTCCATTTGTCTCCCCACTTGTTTCCGCACTCGCTTAGATGGTCTGGCTCCGTCAGCCCTTTTGTCTCCCCACTTGATTGAATTTGTCTCCCCACTTGTTTCCTGACGCGCTTGCTGGGCTGGATGCTGTCACGAGAAGGTCTGGCTCGGTCAGCCCTTTGTCTCCCCACTTGTTTCCTCACTCGCTCGCTGGGCTGGATGCTGTCACGAGATGGTCTGGCTCGATCAGCCCTTGATCCCCCCACTTGCTTGCACCACTTGTTTCCTCACGCGCTTGCTGGGCTGGATGCTGTCACGAGATGGTCTGGCTCGGTCAGCTCTTTGTCTCCCCACTTGTTTCCTTTTGTCTCCCCACTTGTTTTCTCACTCGCTTGCTGGGCTGGGTGCTGTCACGAGATGGTCTGGCTCGGTCAGCTCTTTGTCTCCCCACTTGTCTCCATTTGATGCTGTCACAAGATAGTCTGGCTCCAGCCCTTTGTCTCCCCACTTGTGTGCATTTGTTCCCCTTGTTTCCTCACGCGCTTGCTGGGCTGGATGCTGTCACGAGATGGGCTGGCTCGGTCAGCTCTTTGTCTCCCCACTCCTTTCCCTGTTTCTCCCCATTTGTTTCCTCACTCGCTTGCTGGGCTGGATGCTGTCACGAGATGGTCTGGCTCGATCAGCCCTTTGTCTCCCCACTTGTGTGCATTTGTCTCCCCACTTGTTTCCTTACCCGCTTGCTGGGCTGGATGCTGTCACGAGATGGTCTGGCTCTGTCAGCTCTTTGTCCCCCCTCTTTTTTGCATTTGTCTCCCCACTAGATGGTCTGGCTCAGTCAGCTCTTTGTCTCCCACCTGGTTTTCTCACTCGCTTGCTGGGCTGGATGCGGTCACGAGATGGTCTGGCTCGGTCAGACCTTTGTCTCCCCACTTGTTTGCATTTGTCTCCCCACTAGACGGTCTGGCTCGGTCAGGCCTTTGTCGCCCAACTTGCTTTCTCACTCGCTTGCTGGGCTGGGCGCTGTCATGAGATGGTCTGGCTCGGTCAGCTCTTTGTCTCCCCACTTGTTTCCTCAATCACTTGCTGGGCTGGATGCTGTCACGGGATGGTCTGGCTCGGTCAGCCCTTGATCCCCCCACTTGTTTGCATTTGTCTCCCCGCTTGTTTTCTCACTCGCTTGCTGGGCTGGAAGCTGTCACAGGATGGTCTGGCTCGGTCAGCCCTTGATCCCCACACTTGTTTGCATTTGTCTCCCCACTTGTTTCCGCACTCGCTTGCTGGGCTGGATGCTGTCACGAGATGGTCTGGCTCGGTCAGCCCTTTGTCTCCCCACTTGTTTGCATTTGTCTCCCCACTTGTTTCCTGACGCGCTTGCTGGGCTGCATGCTGTCACGAGAAGGTCTGGCTCGGTCAGCTCTTTGTTTTCCCACTTGTTTTCTCACTCGCTTGCTGGGCTGGATGCTGTCACAAGATGGTCTGGCTCGGTCAGCCCTTGATCCCCCCACTTGTTTGCACTTGTCTCCCCACTTGTTTCCTCACGCGCTTGCTGGGCTGGATGCTGTCACGAGATGGCCTGGCTCGGTCAGCTCTTTGTCTCCCCACTTGTTTCCTTTTGTCTCCCCACTTGTTTTCTCACACGCTTGCTGGGCTGGGTGCTGTCACGAGATGGTCTGGCTCGGTCAGCTCTTTGTCTCCCCTCTTGTTTTCTGACTCGCTTGCTGGGCTGGAAGCTGTCACGAGATGGTCTGGCTCGGTCAGCTCTTTGTCTCCCCACTTGTTTCCGCACTCGCTTGCTGGGCTGGAAGCTGTCACGAGATGGTCTGGCTCGGTCAGCCCTTTGTCTCCCCACTTGTTTGCATTTGTCTCTTGACTTGTTTCGTCACGGGCTTGCTGGGCTGGATGCTGGCACGAGATGGTCTGGCTCGGTCAGCTCTTTGTCTCCCCACTTGTTTCCATTTGATGCTGTCACAAGATGGTCTGGCTCCAGCCCTTTGTCTCCCCACTTGTTTGCATTTGTCCCCCTTGTTTCCTCACGCGCTTGCTGGGCTGGATGCTGTCACGAGATGGTCTGGCTCGGTCAGCTCTTTGTCTCCCCACTCCTTTCCGTGTTTCTCCCCACGTGTTTCCTCACTCGCTTGCTGGGCTGGATGCTGTCACGAGATGGTCTGGCTCGATCAGCCCTTTGTCTCCCCACTTGTGTGCATTTGTCTCCCCACTTGTTTCCTCACCCGCTTGCTGGGCTGGATGCTGTCACGAGATGGTCTGGCTCGGTCAGCCCTTGATCCCCCCTCTTGTTTGCATTTGTCTCCCCACTAGATGGTCTGGCTCAGTCAGCTCTTTGTCTCCCACCTGGTTTTCTCACTCGCTTGCTGGGCTGGATGCTGTCACGAGATGGTCTGGCTCCGTCAGATCTTGGTCTCCCCACTTGTTTGCATTTGTCTCCCCACTAGACGGTCTGGCTCAGTCAGGCCTTTGTCGCCCAACTTGTTTTCTCACTCGCTTGCTGGGCTCTCCCCGCTTGTTTTCTCACTCGCTTGCTGGGCTGGAAGCTGTCACGGGATGGTCTAGGCTCGGTCAGCCCTTGATCCCCACACTTGTTTGCATTTGTCTCCCCACTTGTTTCCGCACTCGCTTGCTGGGCTGGATGCTGTCTCGAGATGGTCTGGCTCGGTCAGCCCTTGATCCCCCCACTTGTTTGCATTTGTCTCCCCACTTGTTCGCATTTGTCTCTTGACTTGTTTCGTCACGGGCTTGCTGGGCTGGATGCTGTCACGAGATGGTCTGGCTCGGTCAGCTCTTTGTCTCCCCGCTTGTTTCCATTTGATGCTGTCACAAGATGGTCTGGCTCCAGCCCTTTGTCTCCCCACTTGTTTGCATTTGTCCCCCTTGTTTCCTCACGCGCTTGCTGGGCTGGATGCTGTCACGAGATGGTCTGGCTCGGTCAGCTCTTTGTCTCCCCACTCCTTTCCATGTTTCTCCCCACATGTTTCCTCACTCGCTTGCTGGGCTGGATGCTGTCACGAGATGGTCTCGCTCTGTCAGCTCTTTGTCCCCCCTCTTGTTTGCATTTGTCTCCCCACTAGATGGTCTGGCTCAGTCAGCTCTTTGTCGCCCACCTGGTTTTCTCACTCGCTTGCTGGGCTGGATGCTGTCACGAGATGGTCTGGCTAGGTCAGATCTTTGTCTCCCCACTTGTTTGCATTTGTCTCCCTACTAGACGGTCTGGCTCAGTCAGGCCTTTGTCGCCCAACTTGTTTTCTCACTCGCTTGCTGGGCTGGACGCTGTCATGAGATGGTCTGGCTCGGTCAGCTTTTTGTCTCCCCGCTTGTTTCCTCACTCGCTTGCTGGGCTGGTTGCTGTCACGGGATGGTCTGGCTCGGTCAGCCCTTGATCCCCCCACTTGTTTGCATTTGTCTCCCCGCTTGTTTTCTCATTCGCTTGCTGGGCTGGAAGCTGTCACGGGATGGTCTGGCTCGGTCAGCCCTTGATCCCCACACTTGTTTGCATTTGTCTCCCCACTTGTTTCCGCACTCGCTTGCTGGGCTGGATGCTGTCACGAGATGGTCTGGCTCGGTCAGCCCTTGATCCCCCCACTTGTTTTCATTTATCTCCCCGCTTGTTTTCTCACTCACTTGCTTTTGTCTCCCCGCTTGTTTTCTCACTCGCTTGCTGGGCTGGATGCTGTCACGAGATGGCCTGGCTCGGTCAGCTCTTTGTTTTCCCACTTGTTTTCTCACTCGCTTGCTGGGCTGGAAGCTGTCACGAAATGGTCTGGCTCGGTCAGCCCTTTGTCTCCCCACTTGTTCGCATTTGTCTCCCCACTTGTTTCGACACGGGCTTGCTGGGCTGGATGCTGTCACGAGATGGTCTGGCTTGGTCAGCTCTTTGTCTCCCCACTTGTTTCCATTTGATGCTGTCACGAGATGGTCGATGGTCTGGCGCGGGCAGCTCTTTGTCTTCGCAGTTGTTTCCTTTTGTCTCCCCACCTATATCCTTTCGCGCTTGCTGGGCTGGATGCTGTCACAAGATGGGCTGGCTCGGTCAGCTCTTTGTTTCCCCACTTGTTTCCTCGCTCGCTTGCTGGGCTGGGGGCTGGCACGCAATGAACACACACATGTGTACACGTGGGAGACACAAATGTGCACACGAGAAGGCACACACATGTGCACACGTGGAACGCACACATGTGTACTGCACACGTGAACACACACATAG